CTAATGGTCAAAGATTTTGTGTAACTAATGTGTGTAAGAGTTATGTGAAGTTGGATCCTAACTCTATTAATATAATCTTTATTTTGAGTGTTTAATTCATATATGGGATCAAATCGTGTGTTCATACAAGTAGTGAGAGGCATGGGAATGATATAATCACTCAATAATACTATAAGTAGGAAAGAAAAAATTTTACTTAAAAAACAAAAATGTAATGCATTACACATTTTGACTCTCTCTTAAGTGCATATCATTACTTGTGGTGCATTTGTTAATTGGGTGGTAAATTAAAGAACAATCTTACCTATGTGTGTTTAGAATTAGTTAAAAGAACCAAATAAATAAATAAACTAATTTTCCATTACTAGAATCAAATTAAATGCCTGTAATCCATTATTCTGTGAACTTGGATGCATCTTCATTCTTGGCATTCATATTTTAGGCTTAGATGGTGGGTTGAGACAAGTATGTAATATTGCGTGTTCTCCTAACATCACTGGTGTTCTTTTCCACAACTTTGTGCTAAGGAAATTTGAAGGAAACGTTGGAGTCCTTGGTGAATTAGCCGAGCTCCTAGTCTTAAATGTTAGCTGAACTTTGAGTTTATATGATTCTATATATATACGACTTGTGGTTGTAAGTTCAAGAGTGGAGTACCGGTTGTACTCCTAGTAATGATATTTTTTATTCATCTAAAAAAGGTATGTAATGTTTGTGATCCTGCTCTTCAGTAACTAGGTACGGTCTGGAACATTTGTATTTTTGATTACTTGCGCACTTGTTAATTAATGAAATTGTTTGCCAACTTGTTAATTATTCAATTAATGAAATTGTTCGCTGATAGGATATATCTGCTTTACTTTCAGTTCTATATATTCATTCCTATGAAACTGATAACATGAATTGATGACAATATATTTTTGTGAAATGCTTCAGCGAGGAAAACGCCATTGAACGATGCTCTATACAAAAGAAATTCCAACTTGCATGCCTGAAATGGAACAACACATGCAGGTTAGACCTCCAGCTTTCATTGTACTGATTAATTTTCCGTAAATATTTTTCCGAGAAAAGGGCAGTTCAAAATTTATTGCTTTTCATAGAAAACAGAAACAGTTATGGTTAAGAAAGTATATCCTAAGGTTTGGTGTTTGAATGGAGGATCCTTACACAATCTGAGTTAAGCATAGATGACGCATACTTAATTTTTAATGGATTAGATTTAGAATAAAAATTAACTTGGTTGCTAGTCTGCGCTGCTTTTATTGTTTTTATCATGGTTTTGGACTCTAAGTCCATGATTTAGGAAGTGAAGAGTTTCAAAGCTCAGACAAGTGCTTATTCTAGTCTCTTCCAAATAAGTTGGAAGGGGGCAGTCCAAAATATGGTTATAAATTTATAATACTTCATCAATACGGGCACATCTTTCCAAGCATTAATCAAATCCATGCAATATTTTGTTTTAGCTAGTTTTGTGGCGTGATCCTGTGATTCATAGGATTGTATTTCTCCATATATAATCTACATTACATCTTCATTGGTCTCATCAAACAGCTCACTTCATGAGTTATAATAAATTACTAGCCTACAGTTGTTAATGAAACCTACGGTTTCCTCGAAAAATTTTCAAAGGGCAGCACTTGACGATTGAAACAGCAAATAAGTTTAAGAAGATTGAGTTCTTGGAAGTTTCTAAAAGGTTCAATATTGATTTAATGCTTGTGTCATGTTACTTCTCCTGATCATCCAGCTGAAAGGATTTCTAAAGTTTGAAATTTTGATGTCATACTGGAAGCTGTTGGGTCAAAGATTGGGCTCATGCTCTTTTGAGGAACTTCAAGAGATTGGTAGCCAGCTAGAACAAAGCTTGAAAAACGTCAGGGCAAGAAAGGTTTGCAACCTTTAGATTTGCCCCTAGGCTAAAAGTAGTTACATTAATGAATCAATACATGATTACAAGACTTCTGCTTTCGAAGTAAAATTAGCATTTGAGTTACTATCAAAAGAGCTTTTGGGGCATATTTATAGAGTATTTGTGCGGTCATTGGACCCTTATAGACATACAGCAGCCACATTTCCTCAGACTCGCCTCCTCCTTAGGTTATTCCCATAGATAGAGCTGCAGCCCACATTACTTTAACAATTTAAGTGGTCCAAGATCTCCATGATGTGGGATTGGAGTCTCTAATATACCCTGTACTAGATTCTTCATTGTGCCATCTACCTACTTGTAAGGGACTCTGGCTTGACATTCCTCATATCATTAATCCAAAATTCTCCAGGGTTCTAGATTCTTCGTTGTGCCTTGCATCTACCTGTATACAATTCCTATGCAATACTCTAAATTGTGTTTGCTTGCATTTTATGTCTTATAGGCCTAGTTGTGTAAGAAGCAATTAAAGGAATTAAAGGCAAACGTAAGAATAACTCCCTCCATTGAATTAAACATATATTACTTCCTCAATCTTCTAGTTTTATACTTCTCAATGGTGAGCCTCCTGTTTGTTTTCTCTATAGCACATTTTTTATTTTCCTTTTATTTTTTTGTGTTTTAATTACAGGAGAGAATGTTGGAAGAAAATGCAAAGTTATGTTGAAAGGTGGGCCTCTCATTTCCAAATCTTGGAGCTCTTTTTTTATTTGAAAAAAAAAAAAAAAAAGCTTACAATTTTGCAGTCCAAACTATCACTATACTGCGTAAGCTGGGTTGTTGGATGATAGGGGCTGTCACATAATTAAGACCACCTCATTCAATAATTAATATCGTACAATATGACAATTTAGATTGTAAAATACTGTTTTAAAAGAAAATAAATTATGTAACTCTTTTGATATGGATGGTAGTGCAGCGGTGAGAAATAATGGCAGCAATAACTAACCAACAAGGGAAAGTAGTAAGTGATTATACCCAAAACAATTCATATGCGAAAGTTGTGACAAATTGTTTGACGGACTACCATAAAACCATTAATATTAATTGTGTGAATTACTTTACGGTAGAAATTATTGTGTTTCCTGAAATAATGTTGTATGATTAGCAAATGTGGCCGGTTAGTTCACTATTTTTCTCTAAAATATTTTCTTATTTAATTGTATATGATTTAAATGTAACCATATAATGTAAAATACCACGAAAAAAATATAGTAAAGGTACTAGGTATCATGACGTTATGCACTACAAAAAAAAAATCAAAACAGTCTAACTCTTATCTTAACAATAAGTTATTCTAATAATTTTTATTATTTTATTAAAATTACTTAATTTAAGAGTATTATTTTTTAAATTTTTAGAGATTCTAATGGTAAACCATTTTTCTTTAATATTTTTAATTTTACTTTTGCAATTTACTATGTCCATAAAACATCAACTTTCATTTTCTCATTCTCAATAATTGCATGATTAAAATTAAATAAATTACTACGTCTAGTGAAAAAAATGTGAGTTACTAGATCTAGATTTTACCAAAAGAAGAAAATAAATTAGAGGTTGTTGATCCCAAAGTCAGTATTCAACAGACCCCATCAGCCTCCAAATTTAGAGCCCAAGGCAAAAACTACATGGTGCTTGGTGAGACAAAGAAGAAACCTAGGACCAATCTACCTAGAAATGGCAAAACCCAGTTCCAAACCGCCACTTGCAATATAAGCAAAATTTTAAAATGAATTTTTTTACTTCTGCGTTTATGGCATGGGTAACAGTATAATTACTATACATTTTTATTATTAATTTATATGAAAAAATAAAAATTAATTTAAGTTTTATTAATTATCTAATTAAATTGTTTCACATGATATTTGTGTTAAAAATAAATTTATTTATATAATTTTTTATACAAATTAATAGTGAAAAGATACAATAAATACCTTTTAACTCGTCTCAAAAAGACCCATTTTAAAATCATACAGATAAACCTTCTCTTGAAATAATATTTTTTTAAATTTTTTATTCACCAATCAAATTTTCTCAACATCTTTCTCTTTTTGGTGGATAAATTTCCTCAACAACTTTACCATAATGAAAACTTGCTCGGGAGATGCACACAAGTCACTATTCGACCTCATTTTCGATTTAAGTATTTTCTCTATTTAGCTCTAATTGAATTAATTTTTAACTTGGGTGTTTATAATTGGATAATATTTGGTATATCTTCCGCTTTAACATTTGATTCAACATTTTTCGGTTTAATCATTAAAAATATAATATAAATACAGTTAATTAAATCGATTTCTGTATCATGTGTGCATAATTGTACCATTATACTTGTCTATTTTTAATTTCAAATTAAAAAATAATAATTTTTTAATGACTAAACCGGAGGGTGTTGAATCGGATGTTGAAATATAGTGTATCAATAATTGTCTTTTATAATTAGTTGACCACTTTTAATTCTAAAATTGTTATTAAATGTGTTTATTTTTACTTTACTCTTATTTTAAGAAAATAATTACATTATATTTTATATTGACACTTATTTAAGTAGTGGCTAATTAACCCCACAAGAATTGTCTTTGCATTTTCTCAACAATTTTCAATACATAAGTAGGCATTTTAAATATAGATAGGTAATACAAAGGAAGAGAAGAAAGTAGTGATTTAAGTAGGATATGGCGACCTCCAAAGGACAAGGACTTTGCCTTCCACCCATTCAACCTCTTTTGTATCTTCTAAATCACCAACTACCATAATTTTTTCTTCCTTGGGTGATGACCCATTGGCATCCCCAAGTACTGGAAAAGGATTCTACCAGGTCTGCACCTCAAGAAACTAGCCACCCTTGTTAACCATCTCTCATCTATGTTGGTCCTTATCAAATTGCTTTTTTTAAAATTGAGCTTCAATCTTGACATCAATTCAAACCACCACAAAATTCCTTTCACAACTCCAATGTACTCCATTTTAGCCTTTCTCAACAAAATAGTGTCATCACAAATTGTATATGCGTAATTTTCAAATTCTTGCAACCAACTCCTACTCCCTCCAATAATCTATAAGAAACAGCCTTTGATATGAGACAGTGTAATCCTTGTGCCACCATAAGAAACAAAAATCGGGAAAGGGGATCCCTTTACCACAACCCTCTCCCCATTTTGAATTCATTTGTGGGACTACCATTCACCAATCCCATTCACCAAGACAAAGGTAATGGCTATTGATAGGCATTCCATGATCCACTTTCTCCATTTCTTTCCAAACTAAAATTTTTCCACCATACTGTCTAAAAATTCTCAATTCACACAATCATAAGTTTTTTCAAAATCAACCTTCAAAATAAAGCTATCAAACTTTCTCTTTCTTTTTTTTTTTTTTTTCAATTCATCTACAACTTCATTTAGAATGAGGATGCAATTCCCAATCTGCCTTCCTTCCATGAAAGCATATTGGTTTCACTAATTATACCATCCATGACCTCTTTTACTTTGTTCATCAAAACCTTAGCAACTATTGTATACAAACTGGATAGTTAGCTAATTGGTCTGAAATCCTTTAGCTTAGTTTTCAGTTTTTGGAATCAAAATAATAAAGCTCAAATCAATTCTTTTCACAAGTCTGCCATTATTGTGAAACTCCTTCATGAACTTCAGAATGTCTCTTTCCAATACCTCCTAAGCAAACTTTATGAATTTAACATTAAATCTATAAGGGCCTGGTGCTTTCTTACTATTACCATCTCTTACCAACTTTTTAACCTCATTTAAGGAGAAATCAGCCTCCAAGCTTGAACATTACTTTGGAGAGATTCTATTGAGAATTAACTCACACAATGACGGCTTGCACCATTTAACTTATGTGAACTGGTTTTTGAAATGAGCTAACACTTCTTCTTTAACCATTCTTGGATCATTTACCCAGGAATCATTCTTCCTTAAGCCAAGCACTGCATTTCTTGATTTCTTGCGATTAGCAAACCTATGAAAAAATCTTGTGTTCACATCACCATTCCTGATCCAAAGCATTCTAGATTTTTGTCCCACAATATCTCCTTTTTCCTTAGGCCATCCCATAACTCCTTCACTCTCTCTCTCCTTAAAATTAGATCATCATCCTCCAATACAAGATCTTCGCTCTTCAAATTAATTAACCCCCCACTTTTTCCTTTGCCCTTTCAATTTGTTGATCAATGTTGCTATACACTTCTGTGTTCCATTTTCTCAAAAAACTCTTCAACATTTTAAATTTTTCTTTACATCTACAACCATTCCAACCTTCAACTTGATATCCATCCTTTATAATATTTTTAAAGCCTGGGAACTCCAGCCAGCTATCTACAAATTTGAACGGTCTTGGACCCCAATCCCCATTATTTGATGACAATAAGATGGGACAATGATTTTTTAAACTGATCTTCTCAAACCCGCCAGACAACATTCCTTCCATTTTTCCAGAAACTCTGCATTTAGTAAAGCTTTGTCCATTTTGCTCATGGTTGTACCATTAGACCTGTACCAAGTGAATTTATGACCAACTAATGGCATTTCTATTAATGTTGAATCAGAGATAAAATTATTAAATTCCATTATCTCTCTCGATCTATTTGATCTCCCTATACTGTCTTCCTTGCTTATCACTACATTAAAATCTCCCATCACACATATTCTTCCACTTGCTGATGCTATAATGTTTTTCAAATTTTCCCACAACAACTTATCTTGAAACTCACATGGGGGAGTATACATTAATGATGGTTACTTGTGTTCTTTTTACACCCCAAGCACCTTTCACTCCTAAGAAACCTTCTCCTCCAAAACTTGATTCAATTATAAAAACTCCTTTGTTCCACATGCAAAGCAGACCTATTGCCCTTCTAGTTGCGGCCTTCTTGATCTAGTCACAATCATCACTCCCCCATATAGATTTACAAATGCTTATGTCTACCTACTCCATCTTTTTTCCTACAACAACAACTCCACCTTCTCCCTAATCATCAAACTCCTATTTTCTCTTCTTTTCAAAGGGTTATGCAACTCCTTAATATTAAAGGACATAATCTTCATAATTGAAATGAATTCCCACAAACACCACCCTTACCTCTTCACTGCATATGCACTTCCAACGCCTCCCTTTCTTCCAAATTTCTAAAGGCCTCGCCAGGTATCTCTTCACTACCAATGAACTTGATCCCAAGCATCCTTCTTATTTCTAGCATTCCAAGTATTTTAATTTAACTTTTAGGTGAAGTCATTGTTAAAAGGGAAGATCATTAATATAATCACCACATGTTGTACAACATAATAATTATAGGTTGACGCATTGCTAAAAGTGATATATTTTTTACATATTAATAGAAGTTAAGTACTTGGTGTTTAAAATATTTGAATTTTGATTTTGATCCAAGTTAAAAATTTTAAATTAGTGTACATTAACTCAATCAAATAATAATAACATACATAATTACATATCAATTTTTGTAGTTATAAATAAAAAAAAAAGGTTATATCTTATTAATATATATACATAAAAGTACAAAATGTGATATACTATAAAATTAAAATTATTAAATTATTTTAAAAAAAATTTAAAATTATTAAATTTGAGAAGCCTGCATATCTCATAGTTAGTGTAAAATTTTGATTGCACAAAACTTTTCGGAAGTTAGTATGAACTCCTATATTACTTAATATAAATAGACATTTTTTTTTATTAATGCCTTACATAACTGTTTTACTATTTATTTAAAATTAATTACATAATATTACAAATATTTAAATCTAAGTTTTTAATTTAATGAATGTTAACTCCACTAAACTCCTGTAAGTTAACAATGTTTACATTATTATTATTATTATTATTATTATTATTATTATTATTATTTGTTCTCTTCTCGAAAGAAGTCGAAAAAATTTTCTTCTCAAAATGCTACTCAAAAACAAGAGCAAACAATTTTAGCCAATCCTTTCGAGGCAAGCCTGTGATGGTGCAACACGGTCGCCTTCCCCGCTCGTCGCGCATTACATAACGAAGTTGTTGAGATGAAATACTATTTTTTTTTTTTTTATTAATTTCCTCTTTTTTCAGGGTGCTCACTGTTCGTTTTTCTCTTCTGTTCTTCCATTTTCTTTTCTCATTATTTCCAAAACAAGGTGAGAAGATGAGTTCAAAAAGCTTTAAAATGGTATGAAATATTTTGGTCTTTTGTGTGGAAAGACAAAAGAGGATATAAAGAAAAAGAGGGTTTTTGTGGTTTGAGCATGAAGAGATTGCTATATCAAAAACCAATAGATCCTCTGCATTTCTACCCATCTTTCTGGGATTTCTGAACTTCTCCCTTCTTTGATTCCTCCCTTTGTTCCCATGAATTATCTAGAGTTGTTGCTGTTTGGTTTCCTAGAAAAATTTCCCTTTTCCCAGTGATTTTCTTTATGTTTTTCATCCTTCGTTTGCACCTGGAAAGATGAAACCTTTCTATGGGATTATGTGCTGCTATTATTGATGTCTTCAAAATTTGTTTTTTCTGTACAAAGGCTGAAACTCGTTTTTTTTCCTTGAAAATTTAGGCTATTTTCTTTCTTGGTTTTCTTGTTTTTCTGAGCTTTTAAAAATTTCCTCTGCGTTGCCATTATTAATCTCTTCAAAAAATTTTGTAATTTTTCTTCGCAAAGGTTGAAACTTTAGTATTAGCTACACACTGCGTAGCTACTTAATATATATCTGGGGACTTTGCTAAATTTTGGTGAGTATTTGTGTCACTTTTTCAAAGATAAAAAACAAAATCTGATTCTCGTGTAAAGTTACTGATTGACGTGACTCTGATTATGAAGTAGAAGATGGTGAGAGGAAAAATTGTGATGAAAAGGGTCGAGAATGGAGCAAGCAGACTAATGACCTTCTCGAAGCGTCGAAATGGGCTCGTTTAGGAAGGCTTTTGAGCTATCTGTTCTCTGTGATGTAGAAGTTGCAGTGATCATCTTCTCACAAAATGGAAGACTTTATGAGTTCTCAAGTTTCGAGTATGTTCTTTTTAATTATACTAACCAAGATCTTCAATTGCTTATTTCTTTTTACTATATATGTTGATCATTTAACAGATTTTGCAAGTTTGTTTTTTTTATCCTCTTCCATAAATTGCTCATTATGTGGATCTGTACTTCCTCAGTTCCATTAGGAAATCTTACTATTTGCTTTGATTTTTTCTTCCTATTTGTCTTTGAGTTTATTTCTTTTGATGAAATATCAAGAAAGGCTCTCATAAGATGCTTTGCTGCTGGAAAAAATCCATTTGGGTGCATTTTGCCTTTCTCAAACATGTCTATTAGGGTTTGCAAAAGCTTCGTTGCTAGGAACTAAAAACTATAATTCTAGTTTTTAGCCTGCCATAATTTCTTTTTTATTAGATGAATCAAAATTCTATTAATTTGGTGTACAAGGAGTACTCCTACCCATATATACAGCATTTCATAAATTTAATTGTTACCATAATCCACATTGCCAAGATAAAGGAATACAAAACACGTTGGTTAATTCATACATATATAGTAATACAAAACACTACAACATTTATAAGGATGCACACTGGTGCATCATCCAAGGCACCCTCTATTTTCAAGTTTCCTCAGCAAATAAGTAACGCACAGTGTTTCATTGATGGTAGGAAAACATACTACCTTCTGACTTACCGCAGCAGCAGAGGTTCTTCTTCTAATCATCTCAAATAGCATATCTTCATCCCAAGGGTTGGAGTTGTGAACCATACCATTCCTCATAAACCAAATTGGCCATGCCACCACCAGAAATGTGAAGTACCAAACCTCAGCCTTCACAAATATCTTAATTCCTTTTCGTGATTGGTGTCATAACCCATGGAATTGTGCTAGGGCAGTTAATGAATACAGGGAAGCTGTGAAGAGAGCAAGACAAGTACAGAATCAAGTAACTTGATTTAGCTTGAATTTATGTGTTTTGTTATTCATTTGTTTTGCATGTTGAGAGAATCTTGAGGCATGTGCATGATGTGTTGAGGACCCCTTATACCCTATTTAATATAAATTTCATTTTGTTGGAAAAAAAAAGGGCTTTTGGATCAAGTCTTGGACGAGTTTACTTGCCCTTGAAAATCAGTGAATCTACACATTATTTTTTCTCTTTTCGAGTGTCTTCTATCACTAACTTTCTGATGCAGCCTCTTCCTTTCTTTCAATTCTTTGGACAAGTGATTGGTAAACACTCAATTCAACACACTTTTAATACTCGTCCAGATTAGTTATTAAAATATAATATAAGTACAGTCTAATTTAGTCTGTTTTTGCATCTTTTATGTATAGTTATATCTTCAAGTTTGTCTCCTTGAATTTCATACTAGAATACAATAATTTTTTAATGAATGTATTGTGCAGTATGTTAAACTGAAATGTATATCAATTAGTGTTTATTTCTTTGCATCTAAGCTTATATAATATAATATAAAATAATTGGGTATATATATAATATGAGAAATCTTCTCCCTCTACCTCAAAATTAAATTTTAGACCTCCAACCTAAAATTTCAATCTCTTGATCAGTTGTTGGGAGATCTTCTAGGGATGTATATAAGGTTCTCTAATGGTTTAGAGTAGAATATCCATGTTAAATTTTGACAACCAACTTCTAATTGCAATATGTGCACTCGTTTCTTTTCTATTTAAACTCATGTTTGGCCTATACTAAATTTTATAAAGTAAAATTACACCATCCACTCTGGATTGATTCTTCACCCAATCCGTTGTCACCATTCATGACCAATGTTTTTTTATCATTGGTGACACAACTAACTTGTTGCTTTGAAGTACCATCCTAAGGTTTTACTATTTTTAATCTCCTTATATTTGTAAATACCATGTTGATTTTCATCTTTTTGATAAATCCTTTCCTTGTGCTATTTACATAATACTCTATATTTACTTAATGGACTACACTTTATTTCTTGTAGCAATTAATTACCTCTTGAAGGATAGAAATCTAATAAGGTCATATATATTTTGTAGTTTGTTTAATTAGCAATGAAAAACAACTATTAAAAGTGAAATTTGAAAGCAAATGTAATTCTTCAACTTTAGTTTGGTATTGTAAATTTGATTTTTATGTCTTGAAAATATATTGTTTGGTTGAAATGTTACTTTCACCATTTTGAAATTCTTGTATTTATTTCATATAAGTTGGGAATACATATGTATATTATTTAAGGGATAATGATTGGTATATCATCTGGTTCAATGCACTTGTCAATATTCACCGGTTCAACTTAAATTCTACAGTTGAAAGTTTTTTTGCCTTGAATTCAAATTTGAAAATAATAATTTCTTAATGAATGTATTGGGGAGTGTGTGTATCAATCATTGTCTTTATTTAAGTGTTCAAGTTTTACATGGATGTGAGATTTATGAGATCAACAATGTAATTTTTTCACCAATCTACTCTTTTTTATTTTTACAAAACCAAACAAATGTACTCAAAATTGAAGATCTAAATTCAAATTTAGACGCAAATTTGTAATTCACAATCCAATTATCATTTAAATTATAGATTTAACAGGATGCTAGAAGATGTTGAAGCTGCATGTCAAATTTTTCAATGGTAGTGGAATGCCCTATGAATAGGGCATTTATATGTCAAAGCCTCCTTTGTAAAACAATTTAAAAGAACCAAATTTAAAAAAAAAAAAAAAGGAAAAAAAGAAGAAGAAGAAGTAATTTTCCTTTACTACATTCAAATTAAATGCCTGCGATCTGTTATTCTTGTGTTTTAGTATGTAGTCTAAGTTATAACTTGTTTGAGGTGACGATTCTGTAAACTTGGATGCATCTTCATTCTTGGCATTCGTATTTTAGGCTTAGATGGTGGGTTGAGGCAAGTAACTTGTCTGTCATCCGCTGATAGGATATATCTGCTTTCTCTTCAGTTTTATTCATTCATTCCTAAGAAACTGTTAACATGGATTGATGACATTAATATTATTTTGTGAAATGCTTCAGCATGCAAAAGACCAGTGAACGATACTCTATGTATATGGAAGAAATTTCCAACTCACAAGCCTGAAATGGAGCAACACATTCAGGTTAGACTTCCATCTTTCATCGTACAGGTTAATTTTCATGAATATTTTTCCGAGAAAAGGGCAGTTCAAAATTTATTTGTTTTTCATAGAAAACAGAAACAATAATATAGTTAAGAAAGCAAATTGTTAGGTTTAGTGTTTTAGTGGGGTATGCTTACACAATCTAGGTTGTATGAAAAGGAGCAGTGTGAACATTTAGATGCAAGCATAGATTTTTTTTGTACTAACCCCTTGATATTCAGAAACTACGTTAGGTCTCGAGTAATTCAAAGTCGTGTCAGATTGGAACTCATGAAAGGAGAAGCTCTTCTTGTACTTGTTTCTCCATTCACAAGACTCAAACTTGAAATCTTACTTAAGTGGAACTAAATTTCTTTCACTCGAACCAATAGGTTGTTAGTAGAAGTAAGCATAGATGATATTGCATATAGTATTAGCCTATTTGTAAGGGAAAGATGCATACTTAAGTTGCAGTTGATTAGAATGACAATTAGCTTGGTCGCCAATCTGCTTCTTTTATTGTTAATTGGGGAAATTGCATTTTAATTTCTTGTGGTTTGAGATTGATGTACAAAAAGACCCATGATTTTAAAATATACATATAACATACCTGTGATTTAAGATGAGTGCACATAAAGACATGAGATTTCAAGATGTGCAAATAAAGACTTGAGTTTTGAATTAGATGCATATAATCACTTGAAGTCACATGAATTCTAACAAATACCCTTATTTTTCTTTTCTTTTCCTTCTTTTAAAATTAGGGGCCTTTAAAAATTTCAAGTGATTATTCAAACTATGTGCAAATCTTTAGTGTTGATGTGCACATTTTGATATCTTAGGCCTTTATCTGCAATTACCCAAAATTTCAATCTTTATGTTGACTTACCTCGAACCATTTGTAGTTAATCCTTCTTTATATCATGGTTTCGGACTCTAAATTCAAGATTTAGGAAGTGAAGAGTTTCAAAGCTCAGACAAGTGCTTATTATTATTTTTTTGGAAAAAATTTGAATTTATTTATTCATAAAGACTAGCAGTACATCGAAGCAGCAGAAAGCTGCTACAAGAAAAAATGACTGCATGAACACATTAGTGTTTGAAATTCTGCACTAATTCTATACAACAACCTCAAGCCACCGTTTTATTGCTGTAGCTCTAGATAAAGGGATGAATGTGGATGACTAAAACTCAAAATTTTGCATCCAACTTCAAACTGAATTTCCGCAAGCAGTGCTGCTTCAGTTCTTAAACATTGCATATGAATTCTTCGATTCTGCTCTATCCATTTATGATATATAGCGGTGTTCCAACATAGCTTGATTAAAGTATTATGTTGAGACTTCCTTCGAACTTCCTCACCAAGCCAGGCTAATAAATGCTGCCATGAGTCTAGCAAAGGGATGTTTGTCATGTGGTTAAGTTCCTGCCAAACGCCCCTCGAGTATCGATTCACAATCAAAAAATAAATGTTGACCTGTTTCTGGATCACACTTACATGAAACACAGGTGTCATCAACACTTTATATCCACTGTTTCTAGCGAGCCTTGGTTGTGAGTCTGTTAAGGGTAGCTAGCCAACTTATGAAACTGTGCTTAGGAATTGCATCAGAGAACCAAATTAGCTTGTGCCAGGCTTGCTTTTCCTGTTTTTCTCTAATCCAATGCCAAGTTGCTCCTGTCTTGAAGATACCAGATGTAGAAGGTATCCAAACCTACAGAATCTTTCTCTCCCTCTCTAGGATATAATTTGTCAAGTAAAGCAGCCTGAATTTGAACTAGCTGTGGTGACCTATAAACAAGTTGCCAAGGGGCAGTCCAAAACTTGGTTGTAATACTTCATCAATTTCAGCAAATCATTCCAAGTATTAATCAAATCCATGCAATGGTATTAACTAGATTTTGTGGCTTGATTCTTTGATACATGTGATTGGATTTCTCTATATATAATCTACATTAAATCTTCATTCCTCTCATCAAACTACTTGCTTCATGAGTTATAATAAATTACTAACCTACAGCTGGCAACAATACTTCCGGTTTCCTCAAAAAAATTTCGAAGTGGAGCATTTGACGATTGAAACAGCAAAGATGTTTAAGAAGTTTGAGTTCCTGGAAGTTTCTAAAAGGTTCAATGATTTAATATTTATGTCATGTTACTTCATCTCATCCAGGTGAAAGGATTTCTAAAGTTTGAAATTTTTGTATTATACAGGAAGTTGTTGGGTCAAGGATTAGGCTCATGTTCTGTTGAGGAACTTCAAGAGATTGGTAGCCAGCTAGAACAAAGCTTGAAAAACATCAGGGCAAGAAAGGTTTCCAACCTTTAGATTTACATTTAGGCTAAAAGTAGTTATATTAATGAATCAATACTTGATTACAAGATTTCTGCTTTGAAAGGAAAATTAGCATTTGGCTTACTGTCAAATGGGTTTTTCGGCATATTCATAGTATTTGCACCATCGTTGGACCGTTTATAGATATACAACCACTGGATTTCCTTAGGCTCGCCTCCTCCTCCTTAAGTCATATACTCATAGATAGAGCTGCGACTCACATTCCTTTAACCATTTAAGTGGTCCAAAATCTCCTCCGTGATGTGGGACTAGAGTCTCTTATGCACCCTGTAATAGATTCTTCCTTGTGCCATTTACCTATATGTTAGAACTTAAATATTTTAATAAAAAATAAAATAATATATTTTATAAATTGAATTTATTGTCCCATTAAAGATTTAATTAAACTGACTGTTGGAGGTTAATTGTCCTATTTAAGGGCACATTATTTCATAATAATTGCTCAATTTATTTCTACTATTAACTTACAAATGAGAGTTACAAGACCATGAGTCTTATAAATAGAACATGTCTTTGCTCAAAAATGGTTTTTCTACACATTCCTTTATTTTTTCTTACCTCATTTTATTTTCTAAATATCTTTGGGTAAAGAAGGGTGTTTTAAGTAAGGTGACTCTATGGGTAATGCAGATCCATAGAGTGTTAATATAGAGCTATTGTATCCTGGGGACGACATGCTTTATATATCTCTGCTGCACCGGTTGATCTACTTTCCACAGAGGCGTGAATCGTCTTAAAGTAAGTAAGTTTTTCACACTTATTTAGATGATATTTTCTTATTAATATTTCTTGATAAGTTCACTAATTATTATTTTATTTGATCTTGTGACCGAGACACAACAATGACATGATGTGGAGATGGAGGAGAGTGTTCGAGAAACAACACTATATGCAAGGGACTTTGGCTTGACATTCCTCATATCATTGACTAGATTCTTCATTGTGCCATGCATCTATCTGCATACAATTCCTGGGCATTTCTTGAAAACTGTGTTTGCTTGCATGAAACTATGTAGACTAAACATGTTATGTCCGATGTCATAGACCCAATTGTATAAGGAGTAGACATTAGCGGAACTGCATGAGGAGAGGGTTAGCTATAGGCTTTACCCCAAGAGTTAAAAAAGTTAGAAGTAAAGAGGCATAGATTAAGGTTGTAGGAGAAAACATGTCAAATATCTTGACCTAAATCTCATTGTACAGACAAGAAAAAAGTTTAGAGGTAAGATTGAAAAGAAGGCGGCCCTACTTTCCATCTCTTTTCGGTTCCAACACTGCAAGCAGATACAACAATTAAACCAAAGGTAAGAATAACTCCCTCCATTTAATTAAACATATATTATGACCTCAATCTTCTACCGCCACGCTTCTCAAATATGTACCTAGTTTTTGTCACAATGATACATTTTTAGTTTTAATTTAGGAGAGAATGTTGTTAGAAAAAAAATGTAAAGTTATGCGAAAAGATAAGCCTTTCATTTTTAAATCGTAGAGTTCTCTTTTTTTTCTTTTTTAAGATGATGGGGCCACCTTACAATGAAGATCCCCTTTGTTTAATCACTCTTATTTTGCCGTATGGTGTAGTTAAAACTATAAAACACTTTTGAATGAAAAAAAATAAACAAACTCTTTTGATATGGATATTAGTGTAGTGGTGGGAAGTAATGGCACAACGAAGGAGAGCGGTAAAGACTGCACCCAAAACAAAGTGTGCTTGGAGGTTGTGACAAAATTGATCATTGGATTGTTGTAAGACCATTAATATCAATGGTCTGAATTTACTTTACAATTGATATTATTCTATTACTCCAAATAATGTTGTATGATTTGTGTATGTGGTTGGTTACGGTTAGTCTACCATTTTTCTTAAAAATTTTTTCTTCTTTAATTGTATATAACCTAAATGTAACTATATTATAGGGTGTAAGAATGCCATAAAAAAATATGGTGAAGATGCTGGGATCATGATATTCTGCACAACTAGAAAAGATTAAAATAGTTTCGTTTTTGTTGTGATAATAAATTATGTCTTTTTTTCATTTGAAGTTTAATGAAACAACTTAATTTTAAAGGTTTTTTTTTTAATATAATTCTAATGATAAACTATTTTTCTTTAATAATTTTCAATTTTATTGCAATTTTCTATCGTGAATACGACCATCAATGCTGGTCTTCTCATTCTCATTAATTACATAATTAAAATTAAAAAAAATTAATACATCTAGTAAAAAGAATAATTTGAGGAGTTACCATATCTTTTTTTTGAACATTTTGTTATAGGGTCGGCTCAAACCGTTGCCCTGGAGGAGAGGGACATGAACATTACAAACGTGACTAGAGCCACTTGATCCGAAAGACCAGGTTCGAGGAGTTACTATATCTAGATTTTACACAAAGAAGAAAAGAAATTAGAGGTTATTAATCCCAAAATCAGCGTTCAACTAGTGGCTCTAACAAGCTCCAAATTGAGAGCCCAAAACGCAGACTGTTTGAGGAGAAAAGAAGCCCAAGACCAATCCACCTTTAAATAGCAAAACCCAGCCCCGACCCGCCGCTTCCAATAAAAGCATAACTTTAAAATCATTTTGAGAAACCTTCTTTTAAAATTATAATCTTCTAGGGTTTTTATCCACCAATCAAATTTCCTCAGCAGGCTTCTATTTCTGGTGGATAAATATCCTCAGCAGCTTTACCAAATTGAAAAACTCCTCTGCAGAAACATTTCAGTCACAATCCGACCTCATTCTCAATTTAAGTAGCCTCCCTATTTAGTTTTAGTTTGCTTAATTTTTATTTTGAGTATTTAAAATTAATTGGTCGCTTTTATTTTAAAAAGGTGATTAAATGTGTTTATTCTTACTTTTTTTTTTTTGAAGTGTTTATTCTTACTTTACCTTTATTTTGAACATAATTATAACATATATTATAACAAGAATGCTTATTTAAGTAGTGGTTGATTGGGGATAAATATAAAATTTTATTAAATTATTAGATTGTTGTTGCCAAAAAAAAAGCAACTAAAGTTGAGTGAGTATTTTATTTTAATTTTTAAGTAAATCCATTGTTAAAAGAGAATATCATTAATATAACGGTTATAGGTTTGCATAATAAATTAATTATAAGTTGACACATCCATAAGAGTGATATATTTTTTGGTATATTAGTAGAAGCTAAGTACTTGATATTTAAGAGGATTGAATTCTAATCTTGTTCTCAAATTAAAAATTTTAAATTAGTGTGCATTAATTCAAAAAAAAAAAAAGCAACAAACATAATTACATACCAAATTCTATAGTTATAAATAAATGAAAAAAGGTGCTCTTAAAATAATAGAAAAAAATTGTACCATATTAATACACAAATATTTTATGAGTTGTCACTTTTATAATACTAACTATCACATATTTAAAAATTAAAACTATAAAATTTAGAAAACTTGTCCATATAATAGTGAATATACAATTCTATTTACATAAAGTTTATTTGAAATTTCACTTATTCATTATATTATTTACAATATATACACATTTTATTGTAAGGTTTATATTATTTTTTTATATGTTAAGAGTTGATTATATGGTATTATAAATTTTATTATTGACCTTAAATCAAAAATTTTTATTTATTGAGTGCTAATTTAACTAAAATTTTGTTAGTTAATAACGTTTATATCATTTTTTTTATATCAAGAAAAAAAAAAATTATTGAATAGGTACAAGTTACGTCGAACCCATTACACACAAGCAGTGCCACACCAGAAGTCGCAATAATGCCTACATCGTGTTTCTTCTCATTTTCTTTTTTGGAACAAAGGATTTTTACTTAAAAACAAAGAGCCAGCAATTTTCTTTTCAAGTTAGTAGTTTTAGTCAATAAAAAATATTTTTTATTACAGATTATATTTTTT